GTACTAACGATTTAGGTCAGATTATTGCAAGTTATTCTGGCTTTTACGCCCTCAGATGAGATCTTAAATTTAAAGCTATTATGAAGTCTTGAAATCAGCTTTTTTTTTTTCGTTACAAAACTTAGCGAAACAGACCGACTATTAGCTTGAATGACGTGCTGTTTAGACAGACGTGGCGTTAACTGTGTTATGCATAATGTTTCGGGTAAGAAATGTTTAGAATTTATTAATCTTTTATATCATTTGCAAAGTGTTTAAGTCACAGGAAAATTTCCGGCTATTATGAATTCATAACGAGACAACGCTTGAACAATCAATCAAATGAAAATTCACTTCTACGATCAGAGAAAAAAAAACCAAAATGCTTCACTTCAAGGCTGAAAGAAGTCTCTAAGGGAACCTTCACTTAGTTTTACATTGCAATCGAACACAATATTCACTTTCAACTTAGGACAGCGTGTTATAAGTTAATTACTTTCTTCGAGGGACTGCATCTGTCGCACAATTATCACTATTTACCACAAGCTTCTGAATCTAGCGTGTTTTGGCATCATAGATTTAATAGCGAAGTAGCTAGGAATAATCAGACTTACAGTTACCGACTTCTGCTTTTAATTTCTATGGACTAAGCTCTTTAATAATGGTTCCTTCTCAAATTACAGCCAAACTGAAACATGCTCTTTAATAATGGTTCCTCCTCAAAATTACAGCCAAACTGAAACATTTCCTCTACGCATGTGCAGTCGTCTACTAGTTCTAATTATAGGGGAAAAACTTGGCGCGCTTCAGAGAAAATTGTTCCGTCTTGTTGAATCCCTATTTTGGGCAATTAATTTCAATTCTTCTCAGTCCAAAGTTCGGTTGGAGTTATGGTATTGTCTCTTGCTCGACTGACTGGTTCGAGGAGGGAATGTGCATTTATAACTGAGAGAGTTAGGAGCAGTTGCAGGAGTGAATCTTTTCAAGCATTGGTTGCCGAACGCTCCCGCGAAAGTGGAAGCTAGATCAAAGGCGCGGGTCAAAGGGCTTCCTCGAAATTACAAAGGTAGTCTGCTTTAGATAGCAGAGATTTAGCGAATTGTACCGACAGTTCACAATAAATGCTACGGAGACTGATTGAAACAAACTTCAAAAGTGGGGAATTTTAAAAATGCGTCATTTTGAAACATTGTGTTTCTACTGTGGAAAGCAAAGGGTTTATACAAATTTCTTCACATAATGCCGCTTCTACTAGCATTCTCAGGTATTTTTGAAGGGGTGGCGAGGATAAAACGCCACAAAATGAAAACACAGAGGTGTGGTCAGGTGAAAACAAACTAGAAGCTGATGTGAACGTGAACGTAAGTATTTCGCTCCGTTTCAGTTAAGGCGAGACGAATACTCTTAAAAACGTTTTTGTTGTTGTGATCGGGGCCGAAATATATATCATGATGACCAAACAAAATGTGACTCTATGGAGTTAAACATAAGTGCAATACCTACCCGAATCAAATTACTAAACGGATTGAATTTGTGACCGATAAATGCTTTAGCAGGATTGAGAACTTGTGTACGTTTTGTTCGAACGGTAAGTTGAATGCCGTAATTGGTTTCAGAAAAAGTGAAGACCTGATCTTGGGATACTCCTTTATTTTTAAAATATAATTTCAAGGAGGTATCTTTTAAGGATATACGATATGACGGTGGAGACTCTCTTAAAACCATATGTTTGTTATCGTTGTAAAAACAACGAAGGGTGCAGAAGATATATTCTGACTGATTTGACGTAAAACTATGGACGATGCCACCGCATGTGATATCTATATATGGCTTCTGGGTGTGGCTGAGAACTTCGATAAAGAGAACTTCACATTAGAGTGATAATTTAGGAATAACAGGAAAGATTTTCAAGGCGGAAAATCATCTAAAAGATAATCTCGTGAGAGTAATGTCCTTCTATCGTAAATATGCAATCAGTTTGGAACTATCATCGCCTTTCAGTAATAAAGTGGAAAATCTTTCCAGAAGCTTTGTCTCCTAAAAAGCTGAGCTTGAAAGTGAAATAAGTTTAATACACAAAAAGAGGCATGTCTGTCCTCGATGAGCTCTTTTCCAGACTAATAGGAACAGATAAGTAAGTGATATCTCGTGAGGATGACTGAGGGTTTGAAAAGACTGGCAACTGGCACAGATTCGCATTTTTAATTATTTTCATCAGATAATCATGTGCATTGCAGTTTGTATCCAGTAAAGTTTGGGTGGAATAATCAGCCGCTAACGACAATAAAAAACAAATGACTTACAGGAAGATCATCTTGATCGATAAATTGATGGAAGTGCGTCATCTAACGGGCGGGGTATAACCTAATAACCTACAACAGATGAGAAAGTACTTCATTAGTTCGTGATTATCACGAAAGCTCGACTGTCCATCGACTCACTCCCAAAACTTCTCGTTGCAATTGAATTGTAACTGAAAGGGCCTTTCATTCTAAAATGGACTATATTTACGGAAAGGAGGAGACACAGTACGAAGAAAATAGAATCGATGAATGTGTGTGGTCTTTCGACTTCGCGAGAATTGAAATAACGCCCAATAAATTTACCTGTGTTAATTAACTTCTAAGGTGAAGCCTTTAAGGTTGGTCTTGATCTTTCATCATTGTATCGTTGCGGGTAACCAATTAAGGATCAAAAGCTTTCATGTAAAGAACATTCTTAATAAAAAATTATGGTGTTATGGTTTCTGAAAGCACTGTCCGAGAGAGGTTGTTCCGTTCGAGATTTACCAGTAATCCTGTTGATCCTAGTGCGTAGATCAAAGTTAAAGACTAATGGAGTAGAAATTGAGAGAATGAAGGAAGAATAGAATGTGCTGAATTGTCAGTTTCACTAATTTTGGAAAATTTTGCAACAGATTCCGGATATCATGTCAAAAAAACACGCACTACAAAGAAGTTCGCAGGTTTCATCCTCTCTTTTAAGTAAAAAAATGACCCACCCTGTGAAGTGCCTTTCGAGTTTGAATCTATTTTATGGCTGATATGCATGATTTGGGAATGCTTCAAAATATAATTAACTCTCACTATTCGAAATTTCTATAGCTTTTTGAAAAAACGGTCTGCTTCACAATTCTTACCTGTTGGGGAGGGGGATAGATACCTTCTCATTCATTGTGCTTCCGGTACTGGTCAGCGTACGCTGTTTGGACCACCCATGTATCTTTTAAGTACTCTTCTCGATAAGGTAATCATTGATATCCTGGGAAAATTCAATACATAAAAGTTTCCAAAAGTTGATCAACCCGGCAGACTCGTTTTTCTCACCTGCAGTGAGATTTTTCCATTTACTCACTGAAAGCTATTTATTTTTTTCCCAGCTTATGAAAACCAAGATCGTCTTTTGAAAACGCTTTCAATAGTGGAGTTTTCAAACAATTCGTGAGAAAAACGTTATGTTTCTAGAATAGACAGGAGAAAAAGGAAGGCTTTTGAAGACGGTAACGTGACATTGTCATACAGCGCTGCCTACATCAATGTTTTAAGCGCTCTAGTGTAGAAGATATTCGAAAACGTGGAAGTAAACCGAAACGAAAATGCCAATTACGACGAAAGTATATTGCACCGTTTTGGCTGAGACTAAAACGGATACTTTGAATGGCGCACTACTGTGGTCGAAGTTTAAAAGTCAGTATCAGGAGAGGCTAATTTGCAGTAGGATCATTAGTTTGAAACCACATTGCCGTATTCTCCACAGCTTTTAGAAGAGAATAGCGACAAGTCGACAGTCACACGCGATCATCTGCGAATTTTTCTAACGGCAATTTTAGGTCGAAAGCTCCACATTGTGCTCGCACACAGCTGTATTTGTCCCAGTAAGATAAAAGTTTATGAGCCAATATCCGTTCAGGAGGTTTCGAATTATTTAAGTGAAATCTGATTACCACTTTCAAGAGCAGGTTACAAGTTTAACAGCGAACAAGTTGATGCTTCTGGGATGAATTATCAATCACGAGTGGGATCTGAAATCATTAAACGTATAACCATGTTAACCAAATCAAAAGTGAAAGGGACAGTGAAAAAATTACGGGCACAATTTTCAGAAAACGGCTCTGATACTAGAAAGCAGACATAACGCAAGGTATCCTAAAGGTCAAATTACTTAAACTTTGTTTTTTTTTTAATTTTTCATTAAGCACGTAGTTATACTCAGTTGACTGCAAAGGAAGGAATCTTTTTTTATTGCACCGTCAAAACTTGTCCAACATCTTCAAAAACGTAGGAAAGACTACTATTATTACCTAAGAAAACACATTTCGTGCGCGCACACGTGAAGATTTTTCTGTTCTTTAACGTAATTAATAAACTTACTACTGGTAAATAAGCTGTAGTCAACCCTGGAATCCTATAGTCTTATCCAAAAATATCGATCATACTTGAGTGAGTTTTATATCCGCAACAGGAAGCTTATGCTGCCTTGAAATTTTTCAATGGCTTTGCGTGTGGATACCTTGGGCAAACAGCAGGTATTCCGGCCTATGTCCTCAAAAATAGAAATAAATTCAAAGCCAAATTAGCAAGTTGTTTCCCGAAAGTGCTAAGTCTCATCGAAAAGCGAAAATAACTCAGACGGCAAAGGATCGATATGCCTAGTTTTCCCATAGAAAATTTTCCTAAGTGAAATGTTGACACGTTGTTTACATAGTGATGATACAATAACATTCATCTAACGCTCCCCCGTCACGCCCACCTTAAGCAATTCGTGAATGGGATTATTTAGCCCATCTTTTAATGCTGTGACTTTAGGATCTGGCGTTTTGAGCTCAGGATTCAAATCTGAATTTTCGCCTTTAAGCGCTCTAAGGTAAAAGCCTTGTAAAACGTCTCGGCGTTATGTGACAACTCAATTGTTCTATTTCGCTGGTGTTGTTTATTTAAGACACCCAGACATGCCCACCTACCGCAGCTCTAATTGTAAGCGATTACCTTAATTAATTTTGTTATCTGCATATCAAAAATGGTACATACAAACCCTCACCACGTTTTAATGGAACAAAAACGACACAAAATAGAAAGGCAGCTTCCTTGCGGTCGAACTCAGAGGGTATAATTGAAAGAAGATCAAGTATTGTGGGTTTTTGGAATGCTGGACATTTTTATCTCCTATTCGTTGTATTTTTCTCAGTCGGTTTGCAGTGCGTGTTCCCTATTGAGTCAAAATGAGATCAAAGCTTTCGGCGACAGTTAAGTCTGACATGCTGTTATTTTCTATGTGAGTATGAAGCGGCGATCCATTGGAACTGTATGAGTAATTCTCTATATACTTGGATGATTTCATATCCAAGGCAAAAAAAACCATCGCAAAGTAGATTCAAGGTATTTATTCGCCTCCGTAAAACCAGTTTAAACGTTCCCTTTGTTTAGGATTTGTTGGATCACCTTCATTCTGGGACGAGGTCAGGAGGTATGAGAATTGAGTTGATTTTGATGCTGTCTTTATTTCGGTGGATACTACTAAAAAGTTTATTGTTAATTATCGTGTCTATAATGCTAACCACAGGCCAACATCTTCAAAGATCATGTTAGGGCGGAGAGGAGAAGAAGCGATACAAGAAGCCTGCCATTTCACCGGGAAACACAACTGTATTCAAGGGCAAGCAGAAGCCACCTTCGCATTAATGGTAAACACATCGACGCAATGGGAAGAGATGGCGATAAATACGGTTGGTAAAGCCTCTGTATCCTTCGAGTTATGAACGGCAGGATCAATATTTCTAGGAAATAAGCTGACAATAAGCGAGTCCTGCAACATTCACTGAATTTATCAACTTAAGGTCTTTGTTCACGCTACGCGCCAACACGCTGTATCTGAAGCAGGTATTTTGCTGTTAAAGTTGTTGCCGTCTTGTCTTAATCGACTTATATTATTGTAATAACATTCGAGGAAAGTTTGAAGGGTTAAGACTGTAATAAAGCTTTTGTTTCTTTTAACTTGTTGCCAATGAATGGCGCCACACGAGTTAAGGAGATTACATCGACCATTAAACTGACTTAAGTATCATGGCAGCGTATAATATCTTGCTTTTCACACATTTTTACAAGAGGCAATTAATCGGATCGTAACTGAGCTATACCATTCGAGTTTCAAACAACTTATCTCTGAAATCTATTTTCATTTTGTGTGTCATCTTTTGATTTTTTCTTATTCAGTCGTAGGGCTTTGTAGTCTAAGATACAAGGTCATTTTAAAACGAAATGCTCTTAAATTTTCTGTGAGTTTATTCCTACAGTTACGTTTGGTGTGAAAAATACCTTACTCAACCGATTCGCAAGCGCTTAACTGGGATTGATATGGGTTATATTTTAGCAGAGTAATGTTAAAAGTTACTGCTAGCATTAATATTGTAGCAGAAAGTATACACGCGAAGTTTACAGTTTACTTTATGCCTTGATAGAACAGGATGCATAACCGGTGATCGTGAACAGTGCACACTGTCAACTGCGAGCCTTATTAGCGGCAAAACGACTAATCCTAACAGAAACATTAAAGTCATCGCATAAGCTAGGAATTTAATCTATTTATGTCCAGTCAGCGATTGTTTGTGCTTTAGCGGCGCCAGGCTTTACTGTTGATAGTTTTATGAGATCCCAATCAAGCCTTTTAGTGCAAGATTGTCGGCCTTGGGGGTCTCGCAACCAATAAAATTTACTTGGTCTTCTTTTTCTGAATACAGTTGAGATGGGTCCTCTTGCCGAAAAAGGTGCTTGCCGTAGCTATATTAAAGTGAATTGAATTGACTCAAGCAGGAAAAAGCTAGCAGCTTTGGACCGTGAATAGACACGGATTCACTCAGTACAAACTGTGTAGAATGTAAATGATTATAACGTAAAGTCAGCGTGAGAGATTACGAAGAGTTTTATCCCAGGTTGATAAATTGTTACACGCATCATAAATTAAACTTTGCTTAGACACAATATAAAAGTTTCCGAAAGAATTTTCTGAATTTATCTTGTGTAAACAAACAAAACGAGCTGTTTGACGAATTGGAACCTGCCGCTAACCGGTCTCTGCTCTCTTTTCCTTGACAGCCAAGCTGGTCATCGAGTCAGACAATTTTGGACGGGTGCGGATTCGTGGAGCGCTGACAAATTACTACTTATGCGTCAAAAGGAACGCTTCGCTGATCGGAAGAAGGGTAAGGTAGCTCTTATTGCTTATGGTCATTTCATTATTTTATGCGCCAAATGTTTACAGAATACTGTGTATTCTTTGTTAATAGGTAGGATTAAAAGCATGGGAGTAGAACAAATTTGCATTGAAAACGTTCACAGAAAGGAAATTCCTAAGAATGGCGTATACCAAAATTATTATTCTGGTATTCCAAGCGTGTTTTCTTTAAACCAAGTCAAGTTTGATTAAAAAATCGTTTCCATCCATTCCCAGCAACGTTAACGAATTAACTAGCGTCAATATGTCCGCATGTTTGGACTTGAGTGACACTTTGTCAATATAACCCACGCTTGGGAAAATTCCCTGTATAAAGGACAAAGGAGAGTCAAAGGGATTTCTTGAACACGTCAAAACGTGTATGGCCAGCTGAACTACCAAATTATCTTCTTTAAAAATTTTTACTTTCACGGTTTTCATGCAAAACGATTTTTTTTGTGTTTTTTTTTGTCTTCCAAAAACGCTATAACTAAACGTTTTTTTTTCAGTCAATCTGTCGCCATCCCAGCCTTTTCAGACTGCTTATTTGAAAGAAAATGAGCTAAATTTCGCGTAGTCTGCGGAGATCAGAAAATGGATAAATGTTTTTTGTTGAGTAGCTTTGACACGGAGACGCCCAGAGGATTACATCCTTATCAATATCAATTTCCCTAAAAAATTTCTAATCTCACTAAACCAATAAAATAGATGAAAGTCTTTAAACTCAGAAAACCAATTAACTTACTTAATTGACTTTTCCCGTGAAAGAGACTCTAAAAAAGGTAGAATTTATTCCTTTGTTATAGCTGGGGCGTGCTTTATACAGAATTCTTTCTACTTCAAACCACTGTTTTTTTAACGTATTGTTGATTGGCATGACTGTCGTACTTTTCTTCAGGTCCTAATTAATCTTAACGATTAAAAAAACGAAGGCGAGCTCGACACATCTTGGCTTCGGACCAAGGTTCAGGTTCCAAACTCCTCAGCGACAGATAGACGATCATTCGAGTCTTTTTCACGAGGCTACACGACTGGTTATTTGTGATTCAAGGATGAACTCGGAATCGAAAGTTGATCACTTCTTATCACAAAAGCTCCATTTAAATAAACCTGTGCTAAGCAGATCACTTCCTCTCTCTCCCCCTCCCCCCCCCCCCAACTTACCCTCCCGTCAGGTCTCGACGTGGCCCACCTTGAGAGTCGGCGTTGAATTACGTGTAATCCAGTGAGACAGAGTAACCAACGAGATACCATTTCTTGCAGGCCACAAAGTCCAAAAGGTGCGTGTTTTACGAGAAGTACGCCGAAAACCATTACACAGAATTTCTTTCAGCTTACAACGAGAGTTGGACAATAGCAGTGTCCAAGAAGGGCAAAATGAGGCCTGGGCACAAGGCACGAAGAGGCCAAAGAAACGCTCAGTTCATTGAACGAGCTTCTAAGATCATTATTCAAACAAAAAATGTCCGCGAGGCGCTCTATCATGGGCTCCGTGACCATATCGAGCAGCTCCTACGTGCCTACAGAGCAAGGGAAGGAGGCGAGAACAAGGAGAAGCCGAGAAAAATGCCACACCCTGGGTACAGTTCAGGGTCGTGGAAACGGAAAGCAAAGATTAAGAGGAGAGAGAAAAAAATGAAATTGCGATCTGAGAAGAGACTGTTGAAGTTACTTCGTAAAGAACAATGGAGAGAAAGGAGAAAAGAGAAATTTTAAGTATCACCATTTGGTGAACTTGCTCCTCTTAAATGTAGCTGATACTTGAATTTATCTCTTGCAGATATCCCCTAGTCATTAATAGGACCCACTTACTTCGTTCACTTTTCAGGTTTTCTTGAATTTATTTTTTCAACATGTATTCTGCAAGCGAATTGCGCTCGAACGTTAGACTGAAGCATTCCTTCGTTCGTCTACCGTATTTATTCGATTAAACGCCACCCTCGAATAAAGGCCGCATTTTAGAGCAGAAATATTGATAAACGCCGCCCTCGAACAAACGCCGCAGCATGGTGCGGTGTTTATTGGAATAATAGACTCAAAAAGCACACAGCGATCATTGCTTCGATCGCAGTTGGAAAAATTGAACCAGTGAGTGAACCAGACACAATTTTTATTAATGTACCAGTTCTGATGTCGTGATAGCATATCCGACATTGGATGTTTATTCACTTTACGTATTGCAGCAGTCTTAACATGCAAATCGTGAGATGACTCTTTAGACAAGCACCAAAAAATGTTTCTGTTTTTTAAATTAAATGGTTAGTTATCATACAGTTGTTTGAAAGAAATAAATTGGATTCTAAATAAACGCCGCCCTTGTATAAGCGCGCCCTCAAGTCGCGAAAAATTTAATAAACGCCGTGGCGTTTAATCGAATAAATACAGTAAGCTTTTATTCAGCAACTCATTTTTTGTAGCTGAAGATCCTCGGCTTGAATCATTCGAAAATATCAAATCTGCGAGCCGTAAATTAAGGAAAATGTTAGTGGTGTCACGTGTTATTAAGTCTTAAACAGGTTTACATCAGACTAGAGACAAATTTCGATGTGTGCTCAAGGTCAGTCACGCGAGACGCAAGAAAAATAGAGACGTGGTTAGTTTGACATCTTTTTTCTTTACAAAAAGTAAAAAACAGCTACCAGTTTTAATTATTTATGGTTAGAAGGACCCTCGGTTATTTCCAAGTTTGAATAACGGGCAGAAATTGCTTCGACGGCAGCACTACCGCTGAAAATAAATACTTTTGTTGACACTTCATCGTAACAGCCTTTGATTAACTGTCGAAGGATCTCAGTTGAAAGCAGTTTTAACCTCTACCCAAACGTAACGGGAACAATTTATGGCGATTAAAAGCAAAAAGTGGGCCGATTATTCTCTTACAGTGAAATAATCTGATCGATCCTTATTCGCCAGTGGCTTAGTCGTCATTCAAATTTACTAGTATCCACGCCTTTTTTTTTTTTTCTAAATGTCTGTAAATTCAACCCAATAATTAGAAATGGAAGCATCTCAATGAATTACTAGGAGTACATATTGAAGAAGATTTTGAGTAATACAAGCAAGAGGATATATTTTTTCTATAATAACTCAAGGAAAAGTATTCGTGTCCAAAGACTGGTAGGAAAAGTACTGATGTTATTGTATCCACTTTCATTCAATTTTGTATTACTTTGAGACTTACATGCATGACTTATTAATTAAATTTTTCTTTGTACATATATTCAATACATTTACATCGACAGGACAACATTTGCGCTGAAATGCGAGTAAAAAATTTAATTTTGAATTAAAGTTACAGTTAACAACTTCATGTGAGCACCATTCATTTTACAAGGCAGTAGAATCATGACATTGCATGCAGTGGTTTTCCACCCTGCATGCACTCTTTTCAGAGAGTCTGTTGAGTTGAATGGCTTAAAACTGATAAAAATCCTCGATCAGTGAATGAATATATAGGGAGTTGTTCAAGGAATGACTTTCTCATTCTCACCGTCTAGAAATTACCGGCCACAATAAGAAGTATTGTGTCGTATGCCATCTTAGTAAGTTTTCATGACATCTTTTATTTAAACAAAAGACATCAGGGCATTTCCTCTTGCGTTTACCGAAACTTCTTTCCCCTTTCCTACCTCTGGAACCGGCGGAGAACAGGAGAGCCGGCTGAGCTTAAAAAAAAAAACCTGAAATTGGTGGGTGGAAAGAGACAAAATACATACGCGCGCGCTGAAAGTGGACGGAACTGATAACCTTGATGTATAACATTTCTAAGTAGAGTCTTGTTAGTTGTTTAAACAATTGCGAGCCGGTTCCATGAAATAGTGTTACGCGGGGCTTGCCAAGCACTGTTCGCTTATCTCAGTAAATCTCGAGCTTCATATTGCTATATTAATACGTGATTTATTTGCCACTAGAAAAAAAACCAGCAAAACAAAAAGACGAAATGATAGAAAAATAAAATGGAACGAAATACAAGGGAAATGTTTTTGACAATGAAACGAGGTAAAAGTGGAATAAATTATCATCGGAGAATAATCTCATTTTCCTCTCTTTCGTCGGAATTGTAGATGTCAAAACAAGGAATCAGAGCCCTGTATCTTTTTACTTCCAACGATCTTTAAAATTCATAAAGGGAATTCAGGCGAAAGTTCTCTACTAGAGTGCGTGCACTAAATTTTGCACGTGCTGGTCAAAATGCTAATTACCTGGAGTATTGGAGAGATGACGTATGCTTGTAGATGGGAAGAAGTTGAGCAAAAAGCAGCTACCACAACAGCTTGCCTTGAAATACCCGAAGCAAAACTACATTTTCAACGCTGAAGAATAGAGTGCAAGCGAGAGAACACGTCGTTTAATTCCGAATCGTACGACGAGTAGTAAGAAAGAGCCGCACGCGAGTCGCGCGAATACTTCTCACAGTGAGGAAGATTCAAGAGTTCGAGCTTATGGAAAACCTTAGGTAATATTTCCTAGAGACTTTTGCTTGTTTAGAAAAAAAGTAGATTAGGGGTCACATTTATACGGGTACCTATCTTTCTAAGGAGAAATAGAGTTAACTAATAGAGTTCCTGATTTTGATTTCTGATTTCTGATTTTTTCAATCTTTGTTTTACGTTTTACAATCCAATAGCTTGGAGTCATGTCGATTAATTTTCCTGCCACATTTGTAGCGAGTGCTCGTAAGAAACGATCGCAGAGACTGAAATTATAGGGTTAGTCTCTTGATCACGCGATCTTTTACGACACAGAATTTTGATAACTCACAAGTTTAGCTCTAAAGTTTGGATCGGCTGGTAAATTATGAGCTTCAAAATGTTTTATATACCCCGTTGAAAAGAAAGATTTCGGTACTCTATGGTATCCTTTACAATATAAATTTTTTTTGTGATATTTAAGTAGTTGAAAGATTCGCAATGTCTAACAGAATTTTGAATATTGCAAAGTCTCAAAAGCGATGTTTTTCGTGTCCGGCTACAAATACATTCATATTTTTCTTCTTCGCATCAAATCATCGGTTTGATGTTGTATGTACACAAAAAATTAACAGGAGAGTCAGAAAAGTGATCACTTTTGTGCCCATAGCATAATTCTGTATTGGAAACTGGAGACTAGTCATGAAATGGCTTCTGTTGATTGGCCTAAAAATCCCGCGTGACTTCTGTCTAAAAATGAGCGGGAAAATGAGACGCGGTGTGTCACGGTCGTTTCGTTGCTTCACAAGGTGGTTTCGGTGGTTTTGTTAGACTTTATGCAGGTATCTTCGGTCAATTATGGGAAAACAAGAAGTCATCTGGCGTCAAAATATTCTTGGTGAGTAATTGTACTCTAACGCTAAATGTGATTGTAAATTAGTTTGTTTATTTGCTTCGGAGTTTTTGTGGCATCATCATAACAATCATTCTAAATGAGTCAACGGACCTTTCGGCTAAGTATCCGTGATTTAAATATCACTGTAAATGATTGCAGCCACAAATTGAATCATCATGAGATATAACTTAATTCTGCTCGGATCAGATCGTGTAATTTACCCGCAATATTTCATGATCACCCTTCGATTATTTAAGTTTTTATGATGCTAAAATTACAATATCATCATTACGTAATCAAATTATGGATCAAGTTATTTTAATTAAACTTGCTACATAATTATAAATTATTATCATTTACATTACTGTTCAAACTGCTTCATTGTGAAGATCATCTTTATTAACGGTTCAATTAAAGTCTAGGGTGTCCTTCTTGGAATTTAAGTTTTCCTGAGAAATGCATGCTTTTGGAAGAACACCATATTGATGATATTCACCGTTAGTCGAATTTTTTATCAACTTTTTGTTCTCTTTGCTATTATAAATATTACTGTTATTATCATCATCATTTACGTATTTTTAAAGCAAGTACTTTTTTCTTGTCGTGCATTGGGAAGATTTAATTTTTAATCCTCTCGGCAGAGAAATAACGTTATTTTGCGAATTATTTCTATGTCAATATTAAGTGAGGCCCATCTTAGTTTATGGATTACACACGGTAATATATCACAAGTTACACCGTAGCGATATTGCGATACACAATGGTTTATGCATCACCAGCTAACACACAAGTACGATTTCTGTGATTTTTTTGTCATGAACCACCAATTGCAAAGGTTTGCGCGGTTTGGCAGCAGAATGCCACATGAGAGATTCTGTAATGAAAGGAAAGTGTTAGTGTGTGTCTCTCTTGCAGTCAAGCGACTTGTCCCTTAACGTAGAGACATCGATTAACTTTTTCCAACGCAACTGCAGACAAATTGTCAAAAAGGAAAAAAGCTATTTTATCTTTAGATTTATTTGTCTGCCTCCTCTTAGTACCTTTGAATTTGTTACATTGCTATTCGAGATGTAAATCAGATTATCTCGTTAACGCACAAAGCGAAACATACGACCCACACGTTTTTTTAAGGTCAGTTATTATCCTCCAACTAATGAAATTGTTTTCCTGAGAGGTGTTTGAGCGGTAATACATGGATGTCCCGTACAATCGAACGCGGTTTCGTCATCTTTATAACAGGCTCACAAAATCTGCAAACAGCCCTTTAGAGCTTTCTAAGGTAACTCGCCCAATTGACAGACGACGTAAATTCCCTTTGCAATTATTTAGGTAAAGGTTTAACCCTTTAACTCCCACGAGTGACCAATACAGAATTTCATTTTACAGTATCAGTACAATATCAAGCAGAAAAGTGATGAGAATGAAGAAAAATACTAATTAGGGGATTATTAGTTGATCCAATACTAAATTCTCCAAATTAACATCACAAGAACTATATGGCAGACAGTAAGGAGAATTCTTAATGATATCTTGGGAGTTGAAGGGTTAAATCTTATTTCATAGCCTAAAACCGTATAGACTTCTTTATTAGTTGAACGATTTAAGGCAGGTTTGAATGTGACGGAATTTCAAGAAATATCTTGACGTTCTTGAGAGCCGAATGTGATAAATCAACCTGAAACAAATAGAAAATTCCGAAAAAACGATGACTTCATACTGAGAGTGTTTCCTTAGACCACACAGTTGGTAAACAGCGGAAGCCGAACCCAGGATGTGATAAAAGCACAGAAATAATACCTCAGTTCCTCTATACGTGATTTAAAACTAAATCATGAAAGTTTCCGTAAGAGACACAATAGACTTTCAAAATACGTCAGGAAACATTTATACAGGTTGCTTTTAAAACGCAACAGACCACACAATTCGTCTGTTTCGCCTTAAAGAGCGTAAAAAAGATGCTCTGCAGCGCATAAACCATGGGGCTCTACAACAATATTACTCTGATGCTTTGCAGTTTACTCACTACATAAATATCGAAAGAGAGATCGTTGTGAGGCCTCAAGTTCGGCGCTTTGATTCCAGCTTGCCTCATGGTAGCGCATGATGAGAAGCGGCTCCGCGTATGTAATAAAATGTTTTCTGCTAATCATCGAAAAAAAGGAAAACCGATCAACAAACTTACCGTCTTGAGTAGAAGACGAATGAAGCCTCATCTGGTATCAATTTTGAGTGACTCCTTTACTCCAACTAGTAATTGCATGGGTTGTTTTTAGGCAGACATTTGCCACCAAGTGTGCTCCTTTCATCTGTATTGTGCGTATGTCCATTAAGCCATACATTTGCTATGTGATTCCACTGCGGGGTCCCACGTGTTCCTAAATTAGTTTTGTAGAGGTGTGGAGATTAATGTACCTTCGCCCACTAGAAATGTTCGGTAGACAGCTTCCTTTAACGACCACAAATCTTACCTGTTTCAGCGAAATATCTTCCCCTTCTAGTCTGCTACGCAGATTAAGAGTAATTATCATCAAATCCCGCAAATTGAAATGGCTTGTCGATAACGATTTTGCCTGCGGCAAGTTTGACTTACCGCTGATTCGAAACTTCCTAGTCAAATCCGATAGAAAAGCGTGCAAAGCTGTAAAAGGTGCTCGAACGTTTCTATTATTTCCAGATCAAAGTCGCTCTTTCGATATGGCCAATTTATTTTTTCTTTCCTACCATATCTCTGATACACGCGTGGTACCTAGCTCGTTATTCGGTTCTCGATGGCCTGTTTACACAGCGTATCGTTCTTCTGGGTGTACCGACCTTCTGCAGAGAAAAACGCGTGCAAAGTGAAAATCACCAACCTCATCCTAGGTGGTCAAAGTACATTTATATGTCTATCTTTTTTTGACTTGGAAACAATGGTCTAAAGTTCGGTCTAGAAAGAACA